AAAAATCCTGAAATTTATTATTGTCATTCAAGTTAAGTTTCGATGTCGACAAGGATACCGAGGGATAATTGAATATTATAATATCGAACAAATAGATACTTATTTAGGTACAAATTACAAATTCTACTTTCGACTACCTGAGGGTGGTGCAAATGACAAACTTTTATTATGGTGCAAATAACAAACACTACTTTCGACTACCTGTAGTGGTTCAAATTACAAACTCCCGTTCAAATATGCTCTGCAACCTAAAATATATGAGAAGGGAAATTTAGATGGAAATTATCTTCGTTCCATACTTTTTGAACAAATGAGTAAAAACGAAAAATTATCTTAATCAGTGAAAAATATTGAAACATTACTTGTAGTATTTTGTTAAATTAAAAAATACGATGAAATTACCAACATTTACGGCTTTGTTGGTTTTTATCTTGAAAATGCACCAAATTTTGTTTCCTATTCTAGATCAATATTGTATAAGATTAATTACTAATATGTAACGTATATATAAAGAGTAACCTATTGAACAACATCGACTGAACTAGCATTACTGTGTGTGATTGTGTTTTGTATAATGTGATTTAAAAAGTACGTCAAAAATGTATTTCATAAAATACAAGCATCATTCATTTTACTTACCGAAAAAGATAAACTTTCCAAATGCGAGTCTTTCACATTTTTTCCAATATGAAATCTTTTAAAATCGTTTATGTCGAAATTCAAAATAGTTAAAACAGTTCCTATCTTCGTCGATACTTGAGTTTTGTATGCGCGTGGAATCGGAACTCGGAAGAAGTTTTATAGGTTAAACTTTTATGCAAAACATTTACTATTCTACTATCATAATATAGTTAACAAGAAATCCGATTCTTCTATTATGTACAAAATATTTAGAAATATAAACTGATCCACCCGACCTCTATTGCTCAGTTAGAGAACAGTGGTACATTGGTTTGAAGTTCAAAAAACCATTTCGGCAACACCATTCACCCATCTCTGCATTACCCCCGACCTAGGAGTTTCGTCCCTTATATATATATATATATATTGTTATATTTGTACTATTCGTTAATAAATTATTTATAAATTTGATGATATGTATATGTTTTTACAACAAAAATAAAGAATGTTTAACCTAAAAAAAAATCAAATACTATTACATTCAAATGATCTACAGGCATGTAGGATTTACTTCATTCCGAGCATAATACGATTGTACGGAATTGAATTGGGATATTTTAGTACGTGGTATTTTAATGGTCGGAGAACCTTGTAACATATTGTACACGAATAATCATTTAAACGAGTCATAAATCGATTATTCAATGTACCGCCAGCTCGATAAAGGTTACGGGCGCGTACTTGGTCATCTCTGCCATCACGGCGGAAATAGGTCTAACAAAATAATAAACAACAATAAATTACAAAATAAAATAATAGGTGTACAAAAATGATACCGTTGACTTTTCACGAAGCAACGGCGGAGACGATAACGGCTCCAAAGATTATATTCAAAGTGAATATTGTTGTTTCGTTCGGTCGTATTTCGGGAAATATTTATGATTTTTTTGGGAAATTTGATTTTTTCACGATAATTGCTAACCTTGGCCTATTTTTTTAATGCGCGGCTGATAGTTGATATTATCGATTTCAAATTTTTTTATACTAACTTTTCATTTTTCCGAAATGTTTATTTTAAAAATGTTCATTTATTTATCATTAAAAACTAGTATGTGTATAATACGAACGGATCTCAATGCATAATTATACCAAATGATTGGCCTTCAGTTATTATTTTTCGATCCCCTACCGAGTTGGACTATAGACAAATAATTATGTATGTACTATATATATTATATATATATATATATAACTAACTATAAGCTTATTAGCTCATTAATCATTAGCTCGATAAAATGTATGCCAAACATTTTGGGAACAAGATTATATAGAGTTAGTAAAACTACTTATTTTGCTATTGAGCGTAGGATAAATATTTTTCTAAAGAATATTAAAATATTCTTATTATAATAAATAATTTAGAATAGTAAATATTTTCGGAAGAATATTGAAATCAAAGATTTATCGAAATTTTTGGGGGTGATTGTACCATAAAATACCTAGGTGTGGAAAAGCGCATGGATGGGTTTCAATTAGTTGCACTGTTAAATAAGAGCAATAGCGATGATCCATTTAAAACGATCAATAAGAAACAAGAAAATGGATTTTCTCAATATGTTGTACAAAGGAAACAGTTAGCGACGGAATCGATATTGATGACATTGACAAACCAGATAAAAAGTTTATAAATCAAATAATTGTGTGCTTTTTAAAGTAAAATAATTTTTGTTTTATTGTACATGATCTGGAAATATTATAATATTTTATAATTTTAGTAAAAAAAAAAAAAAGTTTACCAAACCATGTAATTATACGCTATTCAAAATAATGACTTCATATAGACTCTAAAATTGTTAGAACTGTATTATTAAAATATTCCGTCCGTGTCATACACTCGAAGTCAACATCTAACAGTAGCCGATGAAAATAAAGTTTAGTTGATCTATAGCAGTGGTGGTCAAACTTTTTTTATCTCTCGTCATAAAAAAACAACTTTTTTTACCTCGGTCCATAAAAAAACAACTTTTTTTACCGTGGGCCATAAAAAAATGTATTTTTCAATTTTTTACGTAAATGTACAATATTTCAGTTATGCAAGTTGTGTTGTAATGTAGAATACTTTCGCGGGCCAGATATTAATGATGGCGGGCCATAGTTTGGCCATCACTGATCTATAGTTACGAGTTTTTTCCCGTGCACTACGAACTCGGTAATATTACATTATTAACACTACGATTGAGGCAAACGAGAGCGAATTAAAGGAGTTGCAGGTTTATACACTGTCGACTGGGGCAAGTATAATAATTCTACAATTTAACAATTATTGATAAAGGCAAATTTAATTAAAAAAAAAAAAAAAAAAAAAACAATTATTGTTAAAGTGGTTTTTTCTAAACAGTGATTAATTAGTTTAACATCAGTGATGTGGCAAAAATTCTCAGAGTGTTTCATCCGGCATCCACCAATTATCTGTCTGCTGATAATAACTACTATAACATATTTATTTTTATTTTTTATTTAAATTAATATCGAAATATTACTGGGCCTCACTGAGAAAAACTCGTGGAAGGCCCAAGGTTATCTTAGATAGCAAAATAATTCTTATTGTTTTAGGTACATATTACATTTTTACATAATAAAGACAAATAAGGAGCTTTTTCATAAATAAATCACATAAATAATTTCAGTAATATTGTAACCGTTGTTTAGTGCATTACATACAATACTAAGTCTTAAACATACCATATTCCTATCGGAGCCAATAGGCTATTTTTTTTGTTGAAAATAGGTAGTGGTATATTAACCATATCACTGGGCATAAAGTTATATGTGCGTCCCAAGAAAATAGAAAACTTTTCGTTAACTAGTTTTTGAAGTTCAGTCTAAGGAAAATTTACTAGTACTAATTAAATATAATGCTACCACCACTGCTATTAAAGAGTAAGGACTTGAGAACAACCGACAATTAAGAAAACATAAAGACGCATTGCCGCCGAATGTTCCCGCTCCACGTCATTGAATTGAGTTTCTCGATGTACCCGTAAGACATTTTCACTTTCCGACACCATGTATGGTTTCGTTTCGAATGAGAGAAAATAATTTCGAACGAAAATGTCATGGCTCTATCGATACGCGACTTTTTTTATTTTTTTTTTATTTTTTTTTTATTTTATTTTATTAAGGCGTTCCTAGCTAGAGTAGCTATCTAGGCCTATTTATAATATATACATACAAATTTTCTTACTTACATAAGTGCGATATAAAATACTAAATATTAATTATTAATTAAGTTAAAAAACTAGAATCTTTCTGGTTTGTTGTATTCGATGTGTTGTTGGTTAGTGTTAGGACATTTGATTCGGTCGTGGGGTCTTCCTCTCTTGAAACGGCGAATTTTTGGTGGACTCACACTTAAGTTGTAGTAGGCGGCGCCATTTGAATTCGTAAGAGAATGAAAGAATCTGTTTGATAAATGGTTTATGTGCTCGTCAATAGAAGGGATTTTCAAGTCCTTATGCAGGGCTTTGTTGCGTACGAACCAAGGGGCGTCAGTTATTATGCGGAGTATTTTGTTTTGAAAAATTTGAATCTTGTTTAAGTGACTATTAGCACAACTTCCCCATATAGGACTTGCGTATAATAATAAAGGTCTCAGTACTTGCTTATATATAATAAGTGAGCATTTTTTACTAATAGTTGATTTTCTATTTAATAATGGAAAGAGAACCCCTAAACGTTGATATGCTGCTGTAGTTTAGCCGATATGTGAGGCCACCAGCTTAGTTTCTTGTCGAGGATAACGCCCAAGTATTTTACCGACGATTTCCAGTCAATTGGCTCGTTGTCGAAATTAACTGGTTGAGGTGTTGGTGTTCTGCTTTTCGACTTTTTTTAATACCGTGTAAGAATTACGACCTATCGGTCTTACGCAAATACAATGATTTTTAACCGACGCGCAAAGCTGGTCATACTACGTTTTCAAACATCATCAATTCGATTTTGTTCTATTCGATCTGAATTCCATACAGTAGACTCGCGTGTATTATTATTTTAGACCATTATACAGGACAAAAACGTCAGTTGTTCGTTTTGAAACAATGCACATATTTGTATTGTTTAATAAATGTGCATTCAATGAAATATGTATTAATGAAAAAAAAATAATAATAATAATAAAATAATGACCTTAACGCGTCTGTCCTACAGATTCGCGCGAATATGAACCAATAAACCGAATTATAATCATTGTGCAAAGCACTGGCATGGGATTTATTGACCGTCGGGAAACCTCCGGGAAAAATCTACAACCTTCGTTCGGCTCAATGTCACCGCCTGTTTTGTAGGTATAAAACTCAATCGCACCGTGCCGCAGTTCAGTCAGAACACCATGTACTCGAGAGCAACGCAAGCCGTGTGGCTTTTGGCCATCGTTACAAACCATGTTGTGAGTATATATAATGTGATATTATTTCATTTATAAATGCGAGTAAAATCGTAAAAACGATTTCGTTCGGCAACGGCGCGATGTCAATTGAGGTTCCGTTGCGTGGATTTTATATGGATACAAACTAAGCGTTATTTTATTTACGAAGTACCGATAAAAAAAAGTAAAGTAGAACACAATAATTATATTACGCTAATGTACGACGTTGAAGTAAGTATACGACGCAAGGCCGATAATTGTTGATTTTTAATTTTCATATCATTCAGCCGTTCACTAGTATGATCAGTTTGTTCCGCCGTTTTCGTTGAGGATAATTCCATCTGTTTTTTCACTATTGTTTCAGATGTGTCAAGATAAATCGGGAAATAGTGGTGGCGGCGGCGGCGGCGGTGGAGGTGGCAGCGGCGGTGGTGGTTCCGGGTCCGGAGGATCTGGTAGTCATGGATCAGGATCCGGAGGATCTGGCAGTCATGGATCAGGATCCGGTGGTTCCGGATCCGGAGGATCTAGCAGTCATGGATCAGGATCCGGTAGTCATGGATCAGGATCTGGTAGTCATGGATCAGGATCCGGCAGCAGCGGAGGTGAGGGATCCGGGTCTGGTGGCGCCAACATGGGCTCGCAGATGTTCTCTATAGGCGGCATGAACGGTATGCAACTCCCGTTTCCTTTTTTCCCGCCATTCGCATGCGACTTGGAATGTGTGCCGTATCAATTGCAAGTCGTCCAACAACAGATGCAGCAACCGCCGAAAACGACGACACAAGCACCAAGTAAGCGTTAAAAGCTTCGGCGCGACATTTCATCGAGTACGGGTTCGCGTTCGGAGGGTCGAAATGGACCTGATTGTTATTAGTGACGGGAGGGAGTGAGGTTAACGGGGATGGATTACGACGGGTTAAGAGTTGTACACGTTCGTGCACCGAACTGTTCGCTCTTCCGGACTCGGTCGTAACGAAAGGTTCGGCCGAAAACCGTTCACGAGGAAGTTTCGTTTCGTCCATCTTCGTGCCCAAAGGTCTAATGCGAAATCCGATCAGTCGATAGAGTTCAACCCCACATGATGGATGTTAAGATCGGCCGACCATTATCGTTACCATGACTTATGGAGTAATCTCTACACCCATCCAACGCGTCGGGAAAGCGTTTCGCGATACGCGAGCGGCGTCGCTGTTTTCGAACATTCCGACAACGTGTACATAATTTTCGTACGCCTGGCGCGTGGTTTGTAGTGTTTTGCGCACTGGCGCGTTCTACGCGAAAAAGGGTTCGATCGAATAACGCGTTGTGTTTGTCCATCACGTAGACGCCGTGAACCGAATTGTAACGGTAAAGATTGTAGCCGACAAAAAACGAACGAACGTTCACGCCGGGTTAGGTTAAATAAAATAAAAAAGAGGAGTGTTGATGTCGGCAACCAGACATCAAGCAAGAGTGGTGGGTACACGTTTTGGGTCTGGCCGTCAGGATCGTAACAAGGGGGTGGCGAGAGGTGCAATTTCTGGGAGAACGCAAAAACGAAAAATCTTGCATTTAATGTTAAAACTACAGCGGTCATTGTCGTACATTTTGTTTACGAAATCTTTAACATCATTCATATTAACTAAAGCAATCATTGAAAATAATATCTAATAAGAATAATATTTTTAAATTAAAAATATATAAGGGCGCGATGTTCGGTTACTACGGTACTGCTGACCGCCAACAACCGGAAACCGCGATCGGTCGCACATCCGTTGCGAACGTCGGATCCCGTGCGCCACACTCGTGAACGGTGCTGCAGCGGATCCGGAAGGGATGAGAAATGCATAGACGGGGATATTTTATCATATCCCAGGGGTGACTTAACATTTTGTCTTATCCGTTAATGTAAGCACACGTTTTTAGACGCTTCAACCAACTGACTCTAGTGACTACTCCTACTTTATTCCAATTGAGGCACCAAATATATGTGTACAAGTAATAGGAACATAATAATAAAAAACATTGAACAGCTACTCGTTTTATTTTAATTGTAGAAATCTATTCATTTATTAATGACGATAGTCCGTAATTATTCCAGACCATTCTCGCGCACCGACAAAATAAAATAAAAATTATAAATATTAAACATTAAAATACACGATTTACTCCTGATGACCTTCGATTACGTTCAGGGAGGCTTATGCTCTCCTAGTACCCCTCCCCCCCAATATCCGCTTTTGGAGAGACGAGCTCACCGATCGAATGTTTCGAATGTTTCAGCGACACATCCGCCGACGACCATGAAACCCGTGATAACGACGCCGGTGACTACGTACACGCAAACGACGTACATGATGTACCCGAACTGGTAAGCATGACCACGACTTCGGTGTTCCGACGGTAGTCCGTTGTGCCGTTCCCTAATCGATCGACAACAATTCTCTTTTATTTTTATTTTTTCGTTTCGTTCGTCTTTCTACGGTTCAAAAACGCTACGGTGCCGTTCGTAAAAATATTTCGATACACGTTTTCCACATCAAACCGTATACCACATTGTAACACGTTAACAACTGGTAAAATGTTCCGTTACCGTTACGAGCAATGCGAAAGTTCGCTTCCTCCCCCCAAGTGTTATTATTATTATTTTGTGTTATCAGTACTCACTGTGCGCGACGTATTTCAGGTGTCAAGGCTGGTGCAGATTTTTCTATAAACCACAGCCGCCGGTGTACTACCAGCCGAATTGCCTGTTGTTCTCGTGGATGGGATTAGGAATGCAAAGCGGCATGGGAATGGGGATGAATGGAGGCATGGGAATGTAGGCACAAACCGTGCGAAGAGTACCCCGCGAGCGGCCAACCCGTTTACGGGACCGTCGCATTAATTTATTAACTTTTGTACACTTGCACCTATTGATATGGCAATAAAAGAAAAAAGAACAATTTTAAATAATTTTGTTTTATTGTTATTTTTAATAAAATCATTTTTTTTTTTTAATAATCATTTTTACACTTTACTATTCACGAGAACAATCGAATGATATGAATCCTTAAATCGTAAGAGCAATTCGTGTCTATATACAAAATTAATATGTTTTTGTATATATATATATCAATAAATAATATTTCACTAGGTAGTTATCGATTAATACTAACGAGATATTGATTATAATAATTGTATTTATTTATTTATTGTTTTCTTAAAAAAGGAAAGACGGTGAGATGTCACGTGGAAATTTTCTTAACTAAATCAATGAAAATAAATTAACAATTATCATTTATAATAATATTGTAGTCAACACCAAATAGTTTAACTTATAGAAAATAATTATAAGTAGAATAATTTAAAAAAAAAAATAATAATAATAATAATAAAAATATCGAACAAACAAATTAATATCAGAACAAAGAAAAAAATAACAATATCTATTATTTTTGAAAAATTTTGATTTGATTCCACAAAAAAAAAAAAAAATAAAATAATCAACTGCCTAAGGTACAACAATAATAAGCGAGTGAAACTTAATAGAATAGTTTAAAAAAATGTAGAGTATTTACACTAAACGATTTGTTTTTATTTTATACATATTATTTTTGGTGCAATTAGGTAGGCTTATTTTAGTACATTCATTATCGTTCTCAGTCCGTCACTGAGCCATCATTGTTCAACTGACTAGTCACAAACATTCCGAAAAAAAGAAAAAAAAATAAGTAAAAACTCCTGTTTTCGAAAAATCTTAACAGTTCATTTGTATATGTATGTATGGAATGTCGGCGACACAATATACTAGTAGCCGCATCGGTGACTACACTGATGATGATGATGATTCAATAACAGTTACAAAACTTTTTCAAACCTACTTATCTAGTGTACGATTTCATTAAAACTACAAAATATTATACAAATAAATATATTTAAAAATTACAAAATTATAGTAGAATAGGTACTCATTATTTACACTAATAATAATAATAATAATAATAATAAGTAAAAGGTGTAGAAACTAAACGGACCGTATCCTTACATCGAAGTGAAGATATATTTTACAATCAAAATTATTTGATTTAATAAATATACATAGATTGCTTCGAGAAAGAAGTTTTTCCATATTTTTTTTTCTTTTTTTAAAGATATTAGTATCTTAGTATCTAGATTTACTAGTTAAACGAAATAAATCAGGTTGATCCGTTTGGTTTCATAACACTTTTAATAACACTATAAGTCTTATTTTAACAGGTCTCAAATGGTTCCCAATGGTTTTCGGTTCGAATATTATAATTATAGTATCATATTATAATATATGATATTATTTTTTTATAAGTGAAAAAACTTTCCCAAGACTAGAGACCGTGATAGACTAGAAAAAATTGTTTACATCGTGGAACTAAGAAATTGTTGACGCTGCATTTAAAGATGTGACAGTCTTTCTAGTTATTTAAAATTGTTTTAGTAGAAGTTTTGTTTTTTCACACTTACATTAAATTTAAACAAAATAGTAAGTTATAATAAAGAAACTATATATGATCACAAAATAATAGGACCACTCGAGTGATACAAATCAAACAATTTTTGCATGGTTAAATCTAAAAAATTGCACATTTTTTATATTTATATATATATATATATATAATATTATTATATTATATAATATATAATATTTCAAATAATATATGTATATGTATAATAACTATTTACAAACGGTGTGTACAAAATGTTATAAAAAATTAACTAAGTTATAATTTGTTACTCACGGAGGTCGCGGTAACATTTCGTTGGCCTAATCTCTAAAATTCGTTGTTCCACGATTTCTCTTCCTTAACACTGATTGCTTCTTGTTCGTGTTCACCATCTGATTCTGGTTTCAAAGAACTGGCTTCGGAAGGTGTAGATCTGCCAGATTTGTCTTCATCGTTAACATCCGACGGTTCCACCCGGACGGTCTCCGATCGCCTTCTTTCGTTACAGCTGTCAGTCGCTTGCATCACACAAACCCCGTTTATGATTACTTCGGACTGTTGTTGTTGTTGTTTCTGCTCGGACTGCAGCCAATCGGGATTGACCCATTGCGGAGCCGCTGGTTTTCGGCGAGAGCTGCCAACCACAGGTACGGCCGGGATTTCTTCGCGCGGCTCAGACTCCTCCGATCGGCTGTCTTCGTCGTCAAAGTCGGTGTCCACTTCGTGTTTGACACTCAAATCCAACCCGGACATTTGTTCGTCCACGGTCGCCGATGATGACGATGTCAACATTGGTATGAAGGAAGAGAGATCAGCGCCGTGTTGTAAGTAAGGGTTGCCTGCGTTGAACGGAATCGGTAGCCCGCCAAAGCCAAGTCGATGGCTCAAAAGAATTCTGAATTGAATCGGATCGAATCCCGGACCGTTTTGTGGTTGTTGTTGCGAATCAGAATGAGGTGATTGTTGTTTGATTCTCATTCTATGATTATGGAACCAATTGGTTATTGTCCTAGTTGCCAAGTTCAACTCGGATGCAAGGAACTCGATAGTACCGACACTTGGGTATTGATCTAGAGCAAACGCTAGTTTCAATGCTTCTTTTTGTTCATCCGAAAACAGAACCTGAAAACAAAATTAGGAATTAATCGAATGTTAATTTGTAATCATTTTTAAAGATGTAACATAAATTATTGAAAATTATACTGATGCTATTTATTTAATTCTTACTCGTTGTTTTTTTGCAGCAGATGGAGGACTGCTTGTGCCACTGTGATAAAAGTCAGAAGTGTCATTTGAAGATGTATCACTTCCATTGTCTTGCTGACCAGATCCTCTTCTTCTTTTATTCATTTCTCTACGTTCACTTTTGATCGCTTGCAGTCTTTCCACGTTGTGTTGATCGGAAAGCCAAAGTTGCATTCGAATGAATGGTTCACGACCCTTTATACTCAACATATGCCAAGGTTTTGGTTTTGATAGTAATTCGCTGACTGATCCTTGAGAAAGTCCCAAAACGGCTTCACCGAAAATCTAAACATTAAAAAATATTAATTTCATTGTAAGGAACATTTATTTAAAAAAACCTTAATAAATTTATTTATTTATTTTATTTATAAAAATATTTATTTCATGTTTTGTTATTTTTTTATTTTTTATCAATTACTTTTTGTCCAATATTGTTTGCAAGCAGAGCCTCTTTGATTTTGGTAGTGATCGTCTGCGTGTCAAGATCCTGTGTCAGAGCAGCCATTTCGTAGACTGAAGGTACGACAGGAGGTGGGTGACGTGTTCCAGAGTTTTGGAAAGCTGCTGCTACGTGTTGTAACATCAAGTTTTGCGGAATTCCATTAGTTGGGATCGGACTTGCTTTAAGTTTATTTTCGCTGACCATCATAGATGCCAGTTGACTTCCTGTTGACATCAACGAAGAAGCAGTAGATGAACTTGCGTGATGATGACCACCTGGAGACTGGAGTTGGATGTGATGGTTGCTCGGTGATTGCAATGAAGACGCCATATCAGAGTCTTCCGACATTGTCGTGGATGTATTGCACATTGAGGTAAGTATATGATGATGCGGTGTTTGACGGTCCACGTCAGCACTAACTTTTAAGAGATCGAGTGGCGAAGGTGTCATTTTACCACCAAAAGTGTGTGTTGATTTTACTAAATTCTGGTTCATAGCTGTCAATTAAAAATAAAACATAAATAAATATTGAATATTGAAATATTTGTCAATAATAAAAAAATAAAAATTAAATAAAAATTAAAAATTATTAAATTATCAATACTTGTAAATTAATATTTGAATAAATAAACTAATAGGTTGTATGGAGAAATAAACGAATAAATAAATAATCACGAAACCGGTCGTACTTTACAAATATTATAATACTCCAGGCTGAGCATTTATTTATTTCTATACATAAGCTATTTAATTATTTATTTATACTATTTGTACATTTAACTAACGTTTGAACTGAAAAGTATTATACGTACGACTTGCTCCACCATATCCTCCAGTTCGCATTAGCTTTTCTGGTGCTATCTTGTACTGAGAAGCAACTAATTTATGCACAGCTTTGTCGTCTTCTAAGAACATTTTCATTCTTATAAATGGTTCTCTTCCTTTCTGTGTCAACATATGCCATGGTTTTGGTCTAGCTAAGAGATCGGACACACTTCCTTGAGAAAGACCTAACACGGATTCGCCAAACAATCTCTGACTGATAGAGAATTGACTTAGTTGCTCTTTGACTTTCCTTACAATTTCTTCGGTATTCAAATTGTTAAATTGGTCAAACTGCTGTTGAGTGATTGGTGGCAATACAGCTTTCAGAGGTCTCTGTGAAGGAGAATGGTGGTGTGGAGTCGCTGGTTGAGATATCAATGCATTTGTAATTGAAGCCATTCTTTGCAGTGGACTGACGGCAGCCGATTGACCGAAATCTTCGGGAGGTAGAATGTTATTACCTAATGGAGAGCTAGCTGAACTTCCCACAGATGATGTGCCACCTGATTTGAATAAGTATAAATTAGAGTTTTTTTTTTTTTTAATATTAATTATTTTAAAATGTAATAACTTACTTTGTTCAGTTTTAGGACGAACTAGTGAAAAAGCACTTCCCGCTTGTTTCATCGCTTCTGTTACAGTTTCAGACTCCTTGTCAGACACTTCAGTTCCATTAACTTTAACACCGAAATCTTTACGTTGTGCAGCAAACGAATACATATCCTTTCTGTCTTTTGGTAATGATAAATCTTGAGCCATACCGTTTCCTTGTATGGTGTTGTTATTATTGTTGTTATTCGACATGGCCGCAACAGCAACTTGTTGTTGGAGAGCTAACAATCCTGATAATTGGCTTTGTGGACAGTTTTGTAATTTTGATTGTTCACGGTGAAAAGCATCCAATGCAGTCCGGTAATCATCATGGCTGCCAGTATGGTTTCCAAGAAAATGCGGGAAAAGCCATCTAAAAATACTGTTGTCGTAAATTATACTTAACCATCGATGTTTATTTAAAAATATTATTAAAACTAAACTTACCCTGCAAATGGTTGTTCACCACTTCTCATGGAATCTTCCAAACGTTTTCCCATAATTTTTGAAAGCTCTTCTTGGTACAGTCTGGCCACTTGTTCTTGTGGTATGTCTTCTTTGGATCTTTGTCTGGACGGTGAGGTACTCTGTACGAGAAACATAAACGATTTATAAAGATAAATGAGCTCGTAACAGTGATTATTAATATAAGCTTACAGTTAGTTGGTTTGGCGATGTACTGTCGTCATTGCTCTGGGTATCGTCTTGTTGATTTGGTTTCATCATTTGACTAGCTTCGTTCAATATGTGCACAATCCTTTCATCGGTGACGTCGTTTTCAGTTCTTCCCATAACCGCCGGTATGCCAGAGTCTTTACCTGCAATCAATAAGTACAAGGAGTTCTTCTTCGACAAACCCTAATGACCTATACCCAAAATGACGGTAAAATGAAGGGACATTTTCCCCTGTACTGTTGTCAGTACAATAAACACACTAGAATTAGTTTGCATTAGTTGTACCGATAGTAAAACTGTACGTTTATACGACTTGACAAAGATTTATTCCTTTTTCACATTGGTATTTTCCATGGGTTTATGGTGACCCCATTGACCACAATTGTTTAGAGGGGTTCTAGCGGGTTTCGTGGTTTTAATTAGTACCCCCAGATTACTTCATCTACTGCGTGAAACAAGTACTTAATTGATTTCGGACTTTTGACCCCTCGTGTTTGCCTACTTGAATGGTCTTGATTAATGGAATTTCTCGAGGGTAAATTAACTATAATCGCTTCGTAACACCATACCTTTTTTCGGTATCAGCGACTTGAGGAGCATAACCGCGTTCTCGTCACAGGCCCATGCATGCATTTTCCTGTAACTATCACGTCCCTTTTCGGTCAGCTTGTCCCACGGCTTCGGTTTTGACAACAATTCACTGACAGTCCCCTGAGAGAGTCCGAGAATATACTTGGCAAATAACCTCTGGCCAACATTATGAATCGATAACAGTTCACGCACACGACGAGCTATATGTAACGTATCCAAGTTCTGTGTGGAATACTTGTCCATATTATATCTGGAATTTTTTAAGTATTTTAAATCGTATTAGCGCCGTTAAAAAAATGTGAAAAAAAATTTAAAACAATTTAACGTGACAATAAATTGTTTTATTTTTACAATAATTTATGTTTATATATACATACCTTAGCATTTCCTGGAGTCTAGCCTCCATTGGGTCACCTTTTGGTATGAGTGATTCACCGAATCGTCCGACCATGGTACAATCACCATCTCCAAATCGATAAGGAGACCTGTGATCAAACGGCGACTTTATTGAGTCGAATCCCAAAGCACCAGCCGGTCCTAATATGTTATTGTTAAGTCCAACGTTGAGACCATAGAGACCATTTATGAGGCCCGCCGAGATGTTGTTGTTGTTGTTGTTGTTGTTCAACTGAGACGGATTATTGTTATTGTTATGAGGAGAACTGCTGTTCAGTCGTGGTGAACTGTTCGATTCGCTCGTGGGCGATTTGCATGGCGTCCCGGACCTACTGGTGGATCGTGGTGGTTGAGCCATGTTGGTCGGTGAATTCGGTACCGGAGAAGTGCTCGGAGGTGGCGTTTTGACCGATTCTAGGCCAGGAGATTTTTCATCGCCTGAAAATAAATTAAAAACATTTATAAACATAAGGTGATATATATATATATAATTTTTTTTGACGATAAGCGTATTGATAATGTTCATATAATTAAAATAACAATTCTCGAGGCCTCCTCCCCCTCATTTCAAGAACACGTCTAGACTTTTCCTTACCGGTAGTGTCATGTCGGTTTGGAGAAGTATAGACTTTCTTTTGTTCAGAATTAAGTCGTTCGAGGGATCTTCGCCAGTTCGCCACGATCTCTTCACCGAGTATCGGGCCGAACTGTTCGACGTTTTGGAGCCCGGGAGGGGGTGGGGCCACCGGAACTGAAAAATCATCTGTAAGACAGACAGACGGCCGTTTTAGCGATACGATTCGTTTATGTGTTACCAATAATCGGCGGATGATAATGATAGTAATATTAATATATTTGTAAAAAAAAAATACGGGTTCACTTACTTTGAATGTCGGGCACAGGACTGCAAGACGACCTCTGTTGTGGAGGTGAGGTTGTGCTTTGTGTGTTTTCAGATTTTTCGTTGTTCGGCGACTTGTTATTACGGTCGTCGGAACATTCGGTGGCCTTCAGTACACTGGAGGAAAAAAACAAATAAAAAATAAATACATATAATTAAATAAAACAAATCGAATAATAGTCTTTTTTTTCAGAACCGTAATATTCTAGTTTATTGTTAAAAATCATTGAGCAAACAAATATTTCACTAACGTTATGACTCTTTTACTGTGTAGGACCCCCCGCTGATGTCAGAAATAAAGATGATTCTGTATCGATAACCATCTCTCCGTTCCAAATAATTAATATCGATGACATTTCCTACTTCATCCTTGCATACCACATTTCATTTTAATATAAACTAGTTTGTATCCACATGATCGTATAAAATATCGGCATTGATGTCAACGATTTTTCGGTCGGTTATTATTTTTATTAAAAATAACATATGCGTGTTTCGTTATTAACAAGCCTTGTTTTATCTGTTTAAAATACTCCACTATATACATATATGCGTGTATAAGTGAACGAGCATGGTAAATATTATAAGATTGAAGAAAAAATAAATAAATAATAACGAAGAATAAATAAAAATACGACTGATGCCCACGTCTTCAACGATGTACAAATATTATCGTGCACAGGAAATATTGTGATCGCGGGATACAGCGCATTAGTCATGTTTTTGTTGGCTCGAACAAAGGCCGTTTATTACATTACATACACGCATATATAAATATATGTTCAATATGTTGTGTACAACATACAGTGTAGTAGCAGTATCACAGCGAATAAGTATTTATAGTGATGTTGCGCATTGGAACCGTATCACCGGGATTGAACGGGCTTGATGAACATAATATTAAATTGCTGGATGCAAAAATAAATAAGAAGACTTGTGAACGATTATGAAAAAAAAATTAAAATATTCTTGGATCATAAAAAACTGTGTAATTTGGCCGGGATGCCAAAAATTAAACAATTAGTGTAGATTGAAAATGTGCCAAGAACAGAAAATTAACGTTTTCAACTTTGAGATTTTTGTCACGACAATCCTTGCGCGCCTTGTAATCATTTATTCCATCGAATACTATAAACATTATTGTCACTCACCATAGCTGTCTTTTGACTTCTTCGTAGTCCCTTTGGGCGTCCAGTCTGGCTTCGAGTCTCATAATGTGTTGTCTTTTGTCGTGTAACTCTTCTTCGAGTCTGGCGATCTCTTTGGCAGTGTGTTCTTGCAGTTTGCCCATGCTCGATTGCAATCTGCGTACATCCTCCACCAATTGTGAAATCTAAAGTATAATTTGAAAAAAAAAAAGAAAAAGAGGGTGGTGAGTAAGTTTCGTATACGAACGAAATCGATATCCAAGATGGCGTTTTCACCAAACATAAGGGGCCTCAAATATTATTGTTTGTATAATTTGCATTAAAAACCCGTTAAGAGCGTCCCGGTTAATTACTGAAACCGTTGTCGCCGCCGATAGCCATAGCAGATAGACACGAAACAGAACTATTTACCTTGTGCGTATACGCATATAAATAATTTTTTTAATTATCATAAAACTTGTGCGAGTGTTCGATATCAAACCAACAGTAATTACATTATTATTATTATTACAACAATTCCTCTTTCTCTTATTAATTTTTTAATTTTTTTTTTTTAATTTTAATTTTAATATTAACGGCCCGTAACGAGATACATTAAAGGGATCCGAGTGTGCTCTGTTTTCTGAAAGGTCCCCCTTCCAGTCCGTTTCCGTAATATCAGTAGAAGTAGTGGTACGCAACAACAGTAGTGTTAGTCGGGAGGAGTTCCACGTGCAGACAGACAGACGTTTCCGATTTTCTCTTCAACAATTATAGTCATTATTATACGCCGTCTGTATCCATCAGGATTGATTACACTTTTTTTTCCTCACCCTTTTATTTTACCACGCGTATACCGAGCTTAAATAATATATGCGATGGGTGTGAAAACAGTGTACATACGCTTTTTCCATTAAACGTATTGAAAACCCATTTCATGAGCGTCCAAACACAATCTCGAACATATCGCTACTATACATGTATTACAACACAGTTTTCGCGCACGCTGCCCGAGACCATATATTCGAGCGGAATGAAAAAGAAAGAGAGAAAAAAAAGCAACAATCATAATAATATACGCGTAACGTATTAAAAACGATTAGAGGTATATTTCTCGAACGAATAAAGCGCACGAACGTCTCCCGGACGCTTGTTCGCGGTCGGTATCAACGCCAGTAAAGATGATAATGGAATACAAATGTTTGTATAATTAGATAGAACACCGAACGGCTAGTGGGACGTTGTACATGTATATATATATATATATACGTATATGTATGTATATGTATGTATATCGTTTTAGGTTTTATGACGACAACGAATGGGAAAAAAAAAACAGATAAAAGTGTTTGTCCGATTATGCATTACCATTGCGAAGGTAACGTGTACATAGACTGACGTGTAGACAATTAAACGTTATGGCAAACAACGAAACTTTACAGAGAAGAATCAAACATGGCCGCCGAAAGGATGCATCAAACGAGTCTCATTAGACGGTGTTCCGATGTATAATGTTATTATATACGTGTATATTGAGTAATGACCGAAAGGAAAAAATAAAATAAGAAAATCGTCCACATCGATATGTATACACGTGCGTGCGTGCGCGTGCAACAGCGTACACAGCAACCTAAAATTATTACACACACACACACACACACACACAGCTCACATGAATAAACATCACGCGAACAAGTAGTTATGGCGGGGGGTCCACGGCGATGGAAGCAGCGTGTATTATGGTATTGTAGTGAACGTACGGCGGCCGAGCACATTTTGTAGCGGTCGCGGTCGTAGTGCAGTAGTATTAGTAGCTGTGGTGGGCACGCGGTACAGAAACGTACGAACGCGAAGGAAAATCGTATTAAAGCGAAACAGAAGTCGTTGTTCGGGTCAACCCGTAATTTGTTCCAATTGACTAACCGCAATAAATCTTGGGATGTCAAAAAATCATCGGTTTCCTGTTTCCTGTGCTTTTATAAACTGTGCGCACGTATAAAAGCGTCGGTAATATTTTCCGTCTGTTAATATAATAACGTCGATATAATCCGAAAACCGTCTAAACTACAAGGTCACCTTGACGAGTCCGCCGCCGTCGCCGCGCTGAAACATTATTTAACGACGAATGGTGTTGGCGACGGCCTGCAGCGAACCAATCAGCTATCGTACAATATACGTTAAGTTACAATGAATCGCGCGTTACGTATGCGAGCGAAAATCACGACTTTGGGCACCACCATCACGTCGGTGCGTTCGTTGGGGTGAACGCTAAAATACGTACATCCCCATCCCCCGTGTGCGTGTGCGTGCGTGTGTGCCAGAGTGTTTGTTTGACCACCCTCAAAAGAAAATGATTATTTTGCATATCGATTCCTACGCGTATGTACGATGCGCGAGTACAATTAATTTCGTACGCACCCCAACGCGGAGCACACCCCCGAAACGTTGCATCAGGGTCGCGTGGGACATTATACACGATTCGCAAGTATATCTAATTATGGAAAAAAATATGACCCACGAACCGCGTCCCCCGCAGATACCGATTCGTATACTTGGAGTAGAGAGTATGAGAGCGAGAGAGAAACAGAACCGGTTATATTTAAATCGTCAGATCGACAAACATCATCGGGCGCATAATACCGGTTATCGATCCCATGTGTAACGCAATAACGGTCATTGTCATTGTTCGACGCGATTTTTGAGAGGATCTGTGTGTGCACAATAACGAGTCGCGCGTACACGTAATATCGAGCCTATACATAATAGTAATAATAATAGTAAAAATAATAACAACAACAATAATAAGAATAGTAATGAATAATACATTGTTTAGATACTCGTAAAGTTCTGTGATATTATTATTTCAGATTTCCTATAAGTCTCTACATTTTTCGAGCATTGTTTTTCACTCGTTAAAGTTTTTTTTTTTTTATAATTATTTTATTTTTAATGCATAGCGTACTATTGTTGCGCGCCGCTTGTACGTGTACCAGGCTCGTTTGTTCGCGATCAACCGACCGTGCACTGTTTGGATACATGCGTCGTCCTCCACGCGCGCGCGAACGTCTGTCGAGGAAAAAGACGCGTGTAATTAATTCGGTAGACTCGAGTAAACAATAAATAAATGTCTGCACGCGGGTGTCCGTGTGTGTGTAAAGCCTATTTTAATTGTGAACGTAACGGCGGCGAATATGAGCGTCGACTATATTTTCTCGACAGTTTCGACGTTTAAAACGACCCGCGAACGCCGTATAACAATATTGTCGTATTAATGCCCGTTCGGCACGATATTATGTATAATTATAATATGCTCGCGGGATTCCATATGGCGAAAAAAACCCGAATTCGTGGGACCGCCACGGGTCCTGTGTATGTTCATTAGCACCGGATGAGATCCTTTTTCTCAGGGTCTCTCGTACGCATACACGAACACACACACTCGCACACCCCCGCAACCGCATTCTCTGTCGACGAAAACGCCATCGCACCGCCGACGGGGGTACGTTGTGTCCTTTTTTTCCCCCTTTCTTTCAACCACACGTGGTATCAAGTATAATATGGTATAATTATACGCATTCGATATATACCACCCCCGTATGTATATATAAGGTTTACGTCGGTGCAATAGAAATATACGAGTATATAATATGCATAATGCATACGTGATTTTGTGATGCTGGGAAAAATCGATCGACGGGGAAAGGGGTGGGGTGAAAATCGTTTGTAACGAATATTCTTGAGAACCATGCGAGCAAGTCGCCAGCCAAATGACCGCGATCGTTTAACGGCCGATCTCCTTACACCCTTTTTGTCTATTGTCCAATAATGCGCGCTCGAGGCGTTTGATGGTTTTTAATTTTCAACTCGATTTTGGGATTTTGCCACTATGTCCAATGGTTTTCAGTTACCTATGTCTTCACCGTCAATTTTTACTTTGTTGTTATTTTTACGTCCACTTAAACAAAAGAATCACATTTATTTATAAATATTATTAAAACGAATGTAACGACTTCGGGCGATTTTAAATGTCGTCGTTTGAAGTCGGTGCCGAGTGCTAATTTTTAATTTCCCGAGAACATCAAAGACAGCAGGCACCCGAAAATGACGGATGTTATGCAATATTTTTCCATATAACGATTGTTGTGAATATAACATTTTAACGTTGGCGAATATGCTTATTCATAAATTATTACTATTACATTATTACATACATTTATCTATTTAATATATATATACCTGTAACCTGTAAATATTATAAACACATACATTTATAGATGTGTTCGATTCATAAGATAATATAATGTGAATTATATAATATTATAATTTTGCAACAGTTACTTTTCTTCATTGTTTATTATTTTGTGTAACAATAAGATTCGCGTTAATAAGAGATACTGCCGGCGAAAAAGAGATGATTCACGAATAACGGGTATACCATGTACATATATATTATAATAGGGGAAAACATGGATCCGACTGGGAAGAAAACAAAAGGCGACCGTGGTGTAGTGGAATACGCCGATATTGATTATATCGACAAGTACCGATGAAGGGATTGGGAAATCGACTGATGAACGCGCGTGTGTATATGCGTCTGGCAAGGCCGGCGGCGGTAACGGTGTTGGAGGCATTAAGATAACGGTCGCCGGAGCCTGCAGGGCGAGTGATTAAGCCTTCCTTTCCTTTCTCTCGCCTGCACACACGCGCCCATCTCCGTCCATCAGTTTCCGTGCTATACACCCTCTGCTACAGGGACAGGCATATAAAAGGCGAAGGAGTGTGAGGACGAAGGAGCGGTAGCGCCCTGACAATTAGACAGATACGGCAAGTTTAAACCCTTTTCTCCCTATACATATTCATCCCTCACGCGAACGCACGCACACACATCCATATACATACACATACACACACCCACACCCGCACACACACAACCCTACTGATCATCACACTCTTGCCGCCCGTCGAATATTTCTTCTACCCATCATCCCTATACATATATAAATATATACACACACATACACGCACATACACATATACATATAGCAGGCCCGATCAATTCGCTCTCATGCAAAACACGCCAAGTAGTTTTAGATATATATCCCTCGCCTTTTCCATCGACGACCCTCCACTACCCATTCTATACCGCACCTTTCTTCTCTGTTCACCACCGCCGACGCTACCACTCGGAACCACTGTCAATCCTTTG